GTAGTATAAAGTTTGGAAAGTACCTATTGATACGTATCACTTATGAATAAAATTATTTCGGTTTTGATTTAAATTACTACGAAGTCAAGTGTTTACAATCTCTCCCTTCAAAACAAAGAATCATTAGGGATGACACAGTTTTATAAATAATTAATTACTGGTATGTTTTATGTTGGTTTGACATCATTTATTTGTAATTTGACGTCTATTCATCACAGACATAGCTTCAAGACATCAATAGCTTAATCGAATTTCGGGGAAAATGAAATTGTATTTTTTATGATATTTTACAGTTAAAACAGTCTGAGGTGAAAACGCTAAAAACCATATTTTCTTTTGTTGACATTCATTCTACATCGAATTTGGCTAGAGTAAAGGTATAACCTGTGTTGCATGAGTAATGTATATTTATCTTTTTAGACGGTGACTTCATAAAGCACTGGGACTTCTGGTGGAAAGTAACATTAATAACTTTAGTCTCGTGTCTACCACTTTACATAGTAAAACATACACATAGAAAATGGCGAATGCGTCAGTACAAAAATATAAGGAAATAATTTTTGTTGTTAGATAGGATGAGATGCATTATAGGCAGATTAACCAACTAACTCCAAAGTTAAAGTTTGTATTACAGGAGTTAGTGGCCCTTCACTCCGTGGTTAAAACAAATATTAACTTCATATGTAAGTTCCAAATGCAGTGAATAAAAATTGAACATCGGGAAAACTACGAATATTTCCGAATGCTGTAAGAGTGGAGCCACACGGGCGTTGCGTCAGCATTGCGGTGACGTTGCGTTCTGACGCTGCGTTGTATTACATATAAACCAGAACGACATGCCACACGGTGCGTTGAAACAGCGTGTGGATATGGAACGAGTGCTCATCGGGCAAGAGACCAAGAGACGAAGCGGGAAGGAATGTTGCGGTGCGTAAGTAAGCGGCTTTACGTTGCGACACTGCATTGCATCGGTACGTCGAAATCATAGCGTCGTGACCACGCAACGCACAGGCAGCTCCCGTGTGGCGTCGTTCCTACTCGAATGATTTTGTACATTAGACATTCACTACTAAAGTTAATAGTTACTTATTTAATTATCATAAATACACCAGACATTAATTCGATAATTTATAGACGTAGGAACAGCTTCGGAAATATTCGTAGCTTCCGAATTTTCCCGATGTTCAATAGGTATTATTGAAGACAGATGTTGATGAGTCCATTGAAATACGGATACGCCTTTTATTTAATTGATAGTATTTAAAAGGATGTTGATCGGAATGCTGCCATATCCCATTGTGACTCAAGTAAAATAAGTTCACTGTCTCGTTGGCCCAGCGGTTATAGTTCGTTAAACATTATTTGGACCGATTCGACTTATAGAAAAATAATACAGAACAGTCAGTCCGATCGGCGATGCACGTGCCATCCGTATTGATATTTTTAAGTTTGCAAGATGAGAGGTTAGGTTAGGTTGGTGAAAATCATGTATATTTGTTTTTTCTGTAACAAAATAATTTAATTTCCTTTTTATGATATTTTACGTTTATTAAAACCAAAGTCAAAATCTTGTGAGTAGCTGAAGTGTTAACTGCGCAAAGCCAAGAACAAAAAAATTTAAAGTGACATTAGCCCCTAGTTTCTTTCTCTAATTAAAAATTCTACTATACATTTTTTATAATTTTAGTTTTTTGAAACACATATAGTCACTCAAATAATATTTCGCGAACTATGCAATATGGGCGCTTGATGAGAAGGTCTCGGGTTCGATACCTAATAGTACCAATTTAAGAAACGAAATTGTCTAAATTGGTTCTGAGTAAAGACCCCGTTTAACTACGTTGCTTTGGTACAGGGAATTTCTTTGTTTGAGACCAGGAAATTGGTATTATTAATATTAAAATAAAATCATGTTTTCATCGTATTTAATCATATTTTTTTGTATATGTTATTATTATAGTAATATCGTACATGAAACCACATGCTGTCCTATCTCAAAAATAGTGAAATTGAGAAAGTAAGTTTTGAAAGTTCAAAACAATTACTGAATGCATCTTATTGCGAATAATAAGATTATTTTTGTTTCTAAATAACATTATTTAGTTATCCATTTATAAACGAGAATATAATTTTTTTGATTCCACATTTTTACTTACGACAGTATTTGATTTCATGTGCCATATATTTTAAACATCTTACAAAACATGTGGTATTACTAAAAGTTTACAATACATTGCGTGGCTTGTTATTATCTATCCTCGGACTTTCATGCTGGATTAACATTATAAAATGTTCGGTTGTTTGTTTACTATGCGATGTTATGGTAAAGGGTCAAGAGCACGTCAAGCTGACACTTAAGATTTAAATTAAACTCTATGCCACTAGCGATAAGATTGGTCCAGAGTGTCACGAATGATACGCCTTTGACCGTACAGATGAAGTTTTGTATTATTGTAGTCTAATTTTTTTTTTTATATGTATGTCAGATATAAAACATTGCACATTGTATGGACCAAATTTAGGTCACCTTTTCTTTTTGAAATATCAAACTGCTGATCGATATTCAGAAGAAGGGTTTGAATGTTCTGGAATGTCGATGCCTTATTTTCTCAAACTCGTATCTTATAAAGAGTGATTATTCAGGAGATGGCAAAACTTTCTATTTGTTTTTAATTTCTTATCAAGGCTGTTAATTTGGATCCATTAATTTAAGAATAGGTAGATGCAAGTTTGTGAATATGAAGGATATGTGATGTGAAATCATCTTGAAAAATTTGTATATAGTATACTTTTTTTGCATTCCAGTAATTTCGTGCTTTAAGATACGAGTTTGAGGAAGTAAGGCGACGATGCGATGAGTTAATTACTATGAAGGCAACTATTTTAAGCTAATCTGCTAATCCTTATCACAATTAACGCATTTTAGTAACTTTCGAAATATCGGCCCCTAATTTTTTTTTTAAAGTCAATTAGGCTGATTTTGCTTAACAATAAAACTGAAACTAAATAAGATATAAAAATACCGCTTATTGGGGGTTGTAGATCTCGTTTCGCAGATTCCAGATTTGTTAATAACTCAATTTCGCGAAAATGTCGAGATTACGTTAATTATGATAACGAGGGCAGAAATTTGTAGATAACAGCGGCAGACCGCTTTCTGGTTTGTTTTAAATTTATTCGAATCATAGCAACTCGCATTATCTGTCGCTAGTCATAGCTACCAGCACGGCTTGTGCCGTCGGTCGCGGTAGTCTACTGCGGTGCTTGGTAAATGTTTACCATTTTTTCAGTCTTTCTTAGAACTTCTCTTTCGTTTACTTGAGAAGTGAAAGAGATGTGACCATAAAAGTTTATGATTCTGATATAAATGTTTTTATATACACTTTCTAAGCTTTAGGACAACGCTAAACGCTTGTGTGCTTTACAAGTTACAATGATAAATGTCATGTTAAAGTGTCACAACTATCATAGTATAATAAGGCAAGTAGTGTAACTCCATACAAACATAGCAGCGCAGCATGTGCGGGCTCACACATTCGCATAATCTCGCGGTTTCTTTTTTATTTTCTAATTTCAGAATTGTTCAGTAGGGCTGGCACGACAGGGCGCGATTTGCGCGAGAGCGACATAAAGCGCGAGAACTCTATGCGAGTATAGCAGTATATCGCGCTTTAGTCGCACTCACTCAAGTCGCGCCCTGTTGTGCTAACCCTACTGAATTTTATTTCTATTAAATAATCATACTCCCATAATCCAGATACTGATTAGCTGTGCTGGTCTAAAAATATCAATGAATAAATACTGCATTTGACAAAGGTGATGAAATATCTCAGTGTGACAGACGCAGTGCCCCTCAGATCTTTGCGATTTAAAGCTCTGAGTGCTACTGCAACTGTTATGGACAGACGTGTGGCTTACCATCAAACGCATGACTTGTTCGTCCCGTCACCTGAAATTATAAAAAAATTACAATACTTGTGTTATTATACTATGCTGTTGTACTGTGTTGTATAATTGACCCCTAAGATAGAGCGCGGGGAAAGGCGGGAGAAACGTTTCTATTCCGCTCCATTACACCACTCCACCTGGAATTCTGTTCATAGTAAAGTTTTTACCCATGTGTAACAATAAACACTTTATTACCGCCGACAGTGCTTACGAGTAACGAATGGCTATTGACCGATAGTAAATTACAAATGTATTGACCCGTATCAGTTATCTATTATATTTCCAATAAGAACTCTTGTCTCTTGGTAAATAAATACTTGGACTATTTAACCGACTTCAAAAAAGGAGGAGGTTCTCAATTCTACTGTACGTTTTTTTTTATGTATGTTACGCGATAACTTCGGTATTTGTGAACCGATTTTCATGATTCTTTTTTTTTTTGTTGGAAAGGGGGTAAGGTGGTCCCATTTCATTTTGAAGACAATCATCCACCTCTAAGGGTGGCTGTTCAGGCGTGAAGGTTCGTTCTTATAAATAGCGCTTAAATTTTACTTAGGAGACAACCACTATTTTAATGGTTGATTTTGCTATTTCTCCAATTCAAGGCGTTTTTCTCTCGATATACTTTGAGTAGTGAGAAACGATTTTTATTATCTCCAGTGTCAAGTCCTGTATAATGGCGAACAAGGGGATATTTCAATAAAACTTAGCAAATAGACGTAATTCCACGTACTTTTGAGGTCAGTTTTTTTAGTACTCTGTACTGAGATTAACCTACACAATTTGTTATTGCTATAATTTTAGTGCTATAATTTTTCCAATCAGAGATCCGCTATTCTGCCATTGGCCTTCGCCTGACATTCATAATTTGACATTACAAATTTTTAATTTATTTATTTTCCGTTTACATTTTGAGGGGGTTTTCCCGTGCCTCCGATAAAAATTTTTTTTTATCACTTACTATATTATTTCGTCAAAAATACAGTCAATCAAAATAATGTACAACAAAATAGTACATTGTGAAGTTAGAATTTACATCCTTTGTAATAAATACTTTTGATTTCTCATTACGGAATCCTTTGCATTTTCTTTTCAGAAATGTTATGTTTTGTATTACTGTTTACTACTTAGAATAATAACGCATAGAATGATAGTTTCATATCAAACGAACTGTCACAAGTGAGGCAAAAACCAAATTCATGTAGGCGTAAGCAACTTGTATTTACGCTCGTCGGCACGCACACAAATATACAAATAATGATGCCATGGAATAACATTTCCCTCAAAAGTGGGGAAATTGTATCTTGTTTAACTCATCATTAAGTTAAAGGTGCTTACAGATTTGCCCGACATTGTCGATCAGGTGCCTACAGATGTGCTCGATTTTGTCGATCGACAATGTCGATCAGGTGCCTACAGATATGCTCGGTTTTGTCGATGAAAAACGAATATAGCACTTATTTGTAAATCCAAGATGGCGGACACGATTTTTCAAAATATGCTATATGGGTATCCTTTTCGAGGTATTTGGGGATGCTCATTACGAATATGGCACTCATTTC